CAACTATATTGTCGTATGTACTCGGAGTTACACGTAAATATTTACATTACCACCCTAGAGGGCGGAAATAAGCGCTGATCGCTTTGAAATGTTCCTTGAGGTTCTAGTTGTGGTCAAGGACAACGCCTATAATTTTCGGTGATGATCAGATAATAATTTTGGAATAAAGTGGTCCGAAAATTTCCTTTTTTAGATTCGATCTATAGGCTACAATTATAAGCCGAACATCACAATACAACCAATGGTGAAGGGAATATGGACAAGTAATTAGAAGGGTTGTACTGAATACTGCTGATTCGGAAAATATGTCAGTGTAAGGAAGAGGTGCTGTTGACCTCTAATCGGCCAAGAGGCTGCAACTATCACGAAATATTATCAAACCTCGGAATAAAAATCCGCAGAAAAATATATTTCTTTGGTAGTTGTGTAGGGTATCGTATGGTCGGCCCCGACCGACTATACTGCTCCGTTCACTGGTTTATGCATGTATTTAAATCCCCAGAAATATTCTGCCCTCCTCCCTCTTTCGTTTCCCAATTTTTACACAACACCACTTCGATGTATTTCCTCAAAACTTTCGATTTTCTTTTCGAAGAAAGTTTATTTGCTCCAACATCATTGCGTTTAACCACTTCCACAATTTTCCTGTTTTGATAGCTTTGACTTTGACATTATCCTGCTCTATTCTATATACCATTAAATACTCTGCTCTGTACTGCAATAAAAGTAGCAAGTTTTTAAAACGTGTGTATGTGTGTGTTTTATCTACAGTACAAAAGTTCAATGCAATTTCTAAAGTTTCTATCATATCGGATAAAAGAGGGCGGTAGATGTTCCTTTCAAATAAAACAAGAACCAGTTCACAACATCTGATATCTAAAGTCATCAGAGTAACTGAGGAAAAAAAAACAAAAAAAGTCATAGAGAAAAATATTAAAACTTTCTCAATGATTTATGTGTGCGGTTTGGAAAATATAAGCTACTTTGGAAATTTATCACATTTTTCATGTCTTTTCGTTTTTTGTTTTTATAGGAGTGCTGCGGGTGGTTTTTGTGGATTCGAATGCCAGCAACCACATGCATAATGTTCTGTTTGAATGAAAAGATAAAAATTGCATTACAAAATATTTTAAGAAAATTGAAAAGTTAGAAAAAATATTTTTATGATGTTCGAGAAGTTGACAAACAAACATTGTGGCTAATGACAAATGGCTAATGCATGTGGTAGGAAAGATTTAAGTTATCACAAACATTTAATGCTCTTATTGTAGAAAAAAATAACAGAGGCTCACAGGACTATTTTTTCTATAGAAAAAGATCTGAGGCACACATGATTCCTTTTTATCTATTGAAAAACAATTCAGAGGCCCACATTACTTCTTTTGCTATAAAAATCAGAGGCCCACGGGACAAACTCATAGGGCCACAGGACACCTTTTTCCGACAAAAAAAAATAAAGGCCCATATGACTCCTTTTCTCAACAGAAAAAAAAATCAGAGACCCACAGAACTCCTTTTTTCTATAGAAAAACAATTCAGATGTCCACATGACTCGTTTTTCTATAGAAACAATTGAGAGGCCCACAGGATTTCTTTTATTTTTTAGAAGAAATTTAGAGGCCCACGACTTCTTAGTTTTCTATAGAAGGACCTTTTTTATATAAAAAATTTAAAAGCCATCAAAACTTGTTTTTAGGGAAAAAATCGGAGGCCTACAAAATTTCTCTTTTTTATAGGAAAAATCATAGAACTCCTTTTTATAAAGAAAAATGTTCAGAGGCCCACAGGACTTCTTTGTTTCTATAGGAAAAATAATTATAGAACCACAGGACTCATTTTTTTATAAAAAGAAAATTAGAGGCCTACGAGACTTCTCCATTCTATAGAAACAAACAGGTCGCATTTATTTTCCGAATTGGATGAAATTTGGCACAGGTCACTTATTTGGCAAAATGACCCCTTTTGAAATTGGGAAAAATCGGTTCAAATTTAGATATAGCTCCCATATATATTTTCGTCCGATTTAAGATAAATGGTGCACCAAAGTCCCTAAATATCTTTCAAATTGCACGAAATTTGGCATAGCGTACTGAATTAGGTCAAGAATGATTTGTGTTAAATTTCCTGAAAATCGGTCCAGATTTAGATATAGCTCCCATATATATTTTCGTCCGATTTAATGTATATGGTGTACCAAAGTCTCTATATATCTTTCGATTTGCACGAAATTTGGCATAGCGTAATGAATTAAGCCTGGAATGATGTGTGTTAAGTTTCCTGAAAATCGGTTCAGATTTGGATATAGCTTTCATATATATTTTCGTCCGATTTAAGGTAAATGGTGTACCAAAGTCCCTATATATCTTTTGATTTGCACGAAATTTGGCACAGCGTAATAAATTAGGTCTAGAATGATGTGTGTCAAATTTCGTAGAAATCGGTTCAGATTTAGATATAGCTCCCATTTATATTTCCGTCCAATTTAAGGTAAATGGTGTACCATAGTCCCTTAATATCTTTCGATTTGCACGAAATTTGGCATAGCGTAATGAATTAAGCCTGGAATGGTATGTGCTAAGTTTCGTCAAAATCGGTTCAGATATATATATATATATAGCTCCCATATATATTTTCGTCCGATTTAAGGTAAATGGTGCACCAATGTCCCTAAACATCTTTCGATTTGCACGAAATTTGGCATAATGTACTGAATTAGGTGTAGAATGATGTCTTTTAAGTTTCCTGGGAATCGGTCCAGATTAATATATAGCTCACATATATATTTTCGTCCGATTTAATGTATATGGTGTACCAAAGCCCCTATATATCTTTCGATTTGCGCGAAATTTGGCATAGTGTACTGAATTAGGTCTAGAATGATGTGTGCCAAAATCGGTTCAGATTTAGATATAGCTCCTATAAATAGTTTCGTCCGATTTAAAGTAAATGGTGCATCAAAGTCCCAAAATATCTCTTAATTTGCACATTTGACACTGCGTACTGAATTAGGTCAAGAATGATGTGTGTTAAGTTTCGTGAAAATCGTTTTGGATTTAGATTTAGCTCCCATACATATTTTCGTCCGATTTAAGGAAAATGGTGTACCAAAGTCCCCAATTTATTTTTCGATTTGCACGAAATTTGGTATAATGTGCTGAATTAGGTCTAGAATAATGTGTGCCAAATTTCGAGAAAAGCGGTTCAGATTTAGATATAGCTCCCATATATAGTTTCGTCCGATTTAAGGTACGTCCGATTTAAGGTCCCTAAATATCTTTCAATTTGCACGAAATTTGGCATAGCGCACTGACTTAAGTCTAAAACGATGTGCGTTAAATTTCCTGAAAATCGGTTCAGATTTAAATATAGCTTCCATATATATTTTCGTCCGATTTTAGGTAAATAGTGTACCAAAGTCCCATATATCCTTCGATTTGCACGAAATTTGGCACATCATACTGAATTGAGTCGAGAATGATGTGTTTTAAATTTCGTGAAAATCTGTTCAGATTTCGACGTAGCTCCCACATATACATATATATTCGTCCGATTTTACATAAGTGGTGCACCAAACACCTAATGTTTGTCCGATTAACACAAAATTTTGCACAACGTATCAAATTGAGACTTCAATGATGTTATTGCATTTTATTGAAATTCATCAAGGGAACATTGACATGCAATTGTACGCATGCATGTGTAGAATATACCCAATGTGGTGAAGGGTATCATATAGTCGGCCCAGTCCGACTTTACTACTTTCCCTTCTGGTTTTCTTATAAAAAAAAATTAAGAGGTCCACAGGACTCATTTTTTTATTGAAAGCAATTCAGAAACCCAAAGGGGTTCAGAGGCCCTCATTACTCCTTTTTTCTATAGAAAAAATTGAGAGGCCCACAAGACTTCTTTGTTTTCTATAGAAAAAACCCAGAGGCCCATAGGAATCCTTTTTTGATACAGAAAAAAGGAGTCTGGTTATTTTATAAAAACTATCTTCAGGTTGCTTATTAAGACTCCATCTAGCCCATCCATAGACACTGCCTTTAGTTGTTCTACATAGACTCACTTCGGGTCGTATATAACCAATTCCCTTCAGCTCGTCTTTAGAGCAGGCTGTCAGGGACTCCCTTCAGCTCGTCTTTAGAGCAGCCTGTCAGGGACTCCCTTCAGCTCGTCTATAAAAGACTCTCTTCAGCTTGTCGATAGAGCCGCCCTTTAGCTCATCTAAAGAGACTTCCTACAGCTCGATTCTACCTCCAGTTCGTCTATAAAGACCCTTCATTGTCTTCATTGTCCATTTACAACGAAAAAATCCATTGCATCTATTACAAATCCATACTGCTTGCCTCCAGCTCCTTTTCGTACATCTCATATATATCCTCTAACATTTATGGCTTATGTAATACCAGTATTTAACTTCGACGTGACTCCATTCACCGTCATTCAATTGTGTAATAATGGAGCCGCTTTATATATTTTATAATACACTTACAAGAAGTTGTTACAATAAATTTTCTTTTCTTCCATTTTCTTAATGCCATTAACATATTTTCTGGTGTTTTTTTCGCTGTTTTTCTTCCAGACGAACAATTGCTGCAAACAAGACAAAGTGAGAAAGACGTGAAGTCAACACCAAAGTTCCAAAGAATAAAGAAGGAAAAGAGGAAGAAAAACGCATTCAAGTAATAAACCGTTCAACAACATAAGAGAATTAAACGAGGCCAATGAAAGTAAGCGATAGTCGAACTTACACATACAAGTATCGTAGGAGAAGCGGGTATTCATAAAACGTTATTAAAGTAGCACACACGAACGCACGCCCATACAGGCACAGATACAAGGATACTCAAAGCAACCTTTTGTCGACTCAATAAACAGCAGGTGCAAAAACAAATTGCAAACCAGGGAAGAAGCCCCAAAAAACGAAGAAGAAGGGTAGAAAGCACACAAAAAATAAGGCAATGCAAAATGTAATATTCCAAAGTGCAATCCATCACATTATGGATACTGAGAGTAATGACGATGAAGAAGATACGAATAATAAGAATTATGACGTTCATGATAATTATGTTAATCACATTGGCCAAGAAAATGTAAATTCCCCACTTTATACTCGAATGGCCAAATGTGGTAACAGCGCTGATGGTGATGATGAAGATGATGGCCAAGTCAAATGTAAACGAAGACGAAGTGATGATAATATTCCGAATAGCAAGTCAAGCAATAATAATTGCCATAATTTCAACAGAAGCATTCATCCAGCCACCGCCATGTCATCCCATTTATTACGTGCCATAACTACAACAGCAGCAGCGGCAGCATCACTTGTCACGGCAGCTGCCACCTCACCAACCACAGCAGAAAATATGTCCTCACCAACTTCCTTTGCAGAGGAAAGACTCAAATTCGTTTATGAAAATTCAGTACCAATGGCATCGGATGAGAACATCATTAATAATACCCTAATTTATGGTACATCCCTGTCAAGCATATCGGCAGCCACCTCCTATATGCTATTAAATGACTCATGGCTGAATGCATCATCACCATACCTATCATCATCGTCATCGTCGTCGTCCTCCTCCTCCTCTTTAGCCACTTCCATTGCACCTGCATTGTCCACCCTAAATGCGGAGGGTGTGAATGTCACCTCTGCTGCCAATTCCGATGATGATTGGTCCCACTTTAATGATCTCATTTTATCCTGGCAAGGTGTCTGCCTGATTGCCGTCTTTTGTGTCTTAATCGTGATCACCATTATTGGTAATACCTTGGTTATAATGGCCGTTATTACCACCAGACGCCTTAAAACCGTGACAAATTGTTTTGTTATGAGCCTGGCGGTTGCCGATTTCCTAGTGGGCATATTTGTAATGCCACCCGCAGTTGCTGTTCATTTGATAGGTAAGTTAAATTATACATACATAATACATACATTTTTAAGGATTAGGTCTGAACCTATTTTTAGCTCACCAACATGAGGGAAAAAACCAAAATCGATGTTTTAAATATTTTGACAAGATCATGGGGGTCCATGTAGAAATTATGAAGAAATTCTTTATGGTAGATCTCCAGTGAATCTTTCATAGACGAGCTGAAGGGATTCTCTATAGACAAGCCGCACTGAGTCTTCATAGACGAGACGAGCAAAAGGGTGTCTCTTTAGGTGAAGTGAAAGAAATATCTATAGACGAGATGAGAGAAGTCTACATAGACGAACTGAAGGAAGTCTCCATAGAGGATCTGAAGGAAGTCTCTATAGATAAACTGAAGGGTGTCTCTATAGATGAACTAAAGGGTGTCTCCATAGGGGAGGTGAAAGAAGTATCTAAAGACGATTTGAAAGAAGTCTATATAGACGACCTGAAAGGTGTTCCTAGAGAGGCAAGTTGAAGGGAGTCTATATAGGCGAGCCAAAGAGCCAGGGATTTTCTATAGACGAGCTGAAGGGAGTCTCTATAGATGAGCTGAATGATTTATCTGTAGGGAAGGTAAAATAAATATGTATAGACGAGGCGAAAGAAATTTATATATATGTGCTGGTGGGATTTTTTACAGGACTGAAGGAGTCTCTATGGAAGAGCTGAAGGGAGTCTTTATAGATGAGCTGAAGGGAGTCTCTATAGCGAGCTTAAGGGAGTCTCTACAGACGAGCTGAAGGGATTCTCTATAGACGAGCTTAAGCTCTATAGACGAGCTTAAGCTCTATAGACGAGCTTAAGGGAGTCCCTCTAGACGAGCTTAAGAGAGTCTCTATAGACGAGCTTAAGAGATTCTCTATAGTCGAACTGCAGGGATTCTCTACCGTGTCTCCATAGACGAACTGAATGGAATCTCTATTGACGAGCTAAAAGGAGTCTCTTTAGTCGTGCTGAGTGGAGTCTATTTAGTCGAACTGAAAGGAGTCTCTATAGTCGAGCTAAAGGGCCAGGGTGTTTTTATAGGCCAGGGTGTTATGATCGGTCTCTATAAACGAGCTGAAAGGAGTACTTCATAGACGAACTCAAGGGCCAGAGGGTTTCCATAGGCGAAGGGAATCGCTATAGACGAGCTACACCGAGTCTCCATAGACGAACTGAATGGAATCTCTATTGATGAGCTGAAGGGAGACTTTGATATACCAGATGAAGGGAGTCTCTATAGACTAGATGAAAGGAGTCTCTAAGAGTCTTTCATAGGAAACTTGATGTCAATCTGACTAACATGAGGAGTTTGATGCCCAATTTACTTAAAATCCGGTGAAAATATATATATGGAAGCTATATCCAAATATGAACCCATTTCAACGAAACTTGAGCCACAGTTTAGTTTATACTAATTTCAGTACGTTTTGTTCCTATCAACCATATATTGGTTCCTTGGTGCTTCAATTAGTTAAAATCAATCTGTAATATAAGGGGACTATATCTAAATTTCAACCGATTTTCACGAACCTTGAAAGACATCACTCTAGGCTCAATTCAGTACGTTATGCCAAATTTCGTGCAAATCGAAATATATATAGGGACTTTGGTGCACCATTTATATGAAATCGGACGAAACTATATATGGGAGCTATATCAAAATCTTGACCGTTTTCCACGAGACTTGGCAGACATCACTGTAGGCTCAGTTCAGTACCATATGCCAAATTTC